TCTTTCTTTCTCTCTCTCTCTCTTTCTTTCTTTCTTTCTTTCTTTCTTTCTTTCTTTCTTTCTTTCTTTCTTTCTTTCTTCTTTTCTTTTTTTGAGACAGCGTTTTACTATGTAGCCCAGGCTGGCCTTGAACTCCTAGCAATCCTCCTGCCTTAGCCTCCTGTGTGCTGGGATTATAACATGCACCACTATGCCTAGCCTCTCAGTTGGATTATTGTGAAGGACTCTGTGAAAGGAAGAGCTTTAAGCACATTCAACTTAACAGAGTTTAACTGAGGGAAGAATGATTTGTGAGTTGGACAGCCCTCAAAGCCAGAAGCATTAGACAACTCTAGGCAGCATTTACAGACAGAAAGGTACAGCGACATCTTGCGCGGTTACAGCTCAGCCTCTGCCTTATTTGAACATGGGCTAGTCTGTGGGCCACCTGCCGTGATCTGAAGCCTAGCTGCTGATGGGCTGAACCTCAGCTGTCTCACAAAAGCATGCACATAAGTTAGGCTTGCCGTGAGTTTCTGTGTACTAAGTTAGGCTGCAGTTCGTTATGTAAGAACTCAAACATGGAGGTATCTCTAGCCCAAGTCAGCCCTAGCTGACTTTCTTTTTTTTTTTTTTAATGTGTTTATCAATTTTATTTTGAAACACATAGCAATGAGACAGTTTCAAAACCAATTAGTAGGACGGTTCCAATAATTAATACATTGCATGTTGTTTTCATAGTAGTTATTCATAGTACAAGATGCAGACATGATATCCCATTGAAACACTATTAGTACAAATCTTTCCTCTCATTGAATTAAGAGAAAGTAGCTGTATATCTATCCTATTTTGTATATACAGATACAAAAAAGTCCTTAATTTGTATCCCCTTTTTTTGTTTAGTTTTGTCAGAGATGGGTATTCCATTGCCATTTAAATATTGTAGGTTTGTGAATTCATGAAAATAATCCAATATAGTCCAGTACTCTATAATAGTAGTGGGTTATCCGTAGGACTGGCAATGTCAGAAGTTGTTGACCTGAGTCTTTTACAGCTCAGCATATTAATATAGCTTTACTTTTTAGACCTCCTTTTTATGCATTTCTGCAGGATGGTTAAGACAAGATAAAGCAAGACCTATGTAACAAGAAATGCAACTTTTATATTTAACAATTTCAGTCAAATCCCCTCAGGATTTACT